GAAACCTGACAAGATTTTTGCTCTCTTCAAAAATCATTTTGACTGATCTCATTTTCAATTTAAAGTATCTGCTGTTACTGTATAATTTTCACTTATACTTACTTTACGTATACTTTTGCTAAAATTGTAGGTTAATGGAATTATAAATATCAGGATAGTATTTTGTGAATAAAGATGATTTAAATATGAATCTCATGAGTAAATTATTTCCATTTTATTTTATTCTAGATAGTATAACTATTTTAAGTTGATTAGTCCACTATTATATAAACAATAGTGGGAGTTTTATATATGTAATCTTGCAGGTGGGGAAGCTCTAAATTCTAAAGTCTGTGTCTTTATGCCAAGAACTGTATTTATTGTGATTGTAGACAAACGTGAAAGTAACTTTATGCTTAATTAAATACATTTTAGTTGATTTAAAGACTTGTTTGGCATTGATAATAATAAAATCAGCTAGTTTTTCTATTAAAAAACCTCATAGCCTATGTAATGTGAACTATGAGTTTAGTTGATAGTAATATATCAGCATTGGCTCATGAATTGTAACAGATACACCACACTGATGCCAGATGTTAATAATCGAGGAAACTGTGTGTGTGGGTGGGGCAGGAAAAGGGTATATGGGAACTCTATACTTTCTGTTCAATCTTTCTGCAAACCTCAAACTGCTCTAAAATTCACTGAAAAAATAAGATGTAAGAAGGAAAAGTAAATGAAAAAATAAAAATACCAAAGAAATAAAAATGGAAGAAAATATAAATTAATACATAATTTAAGAATAAACTTGGTAGGAATATATCAAAAAACATCAAGAGAGAAAAGACTAATACACCGCTAGAAAAATAAGCAATAGATATTAATAGACTTTTTTTTAAAAAGAACAATAAATGTTCAATAAGACTATGAGAGACATGTCAGTTAATACTAAAACTTAAAATTATGAGATTTCATCTTTATCTATGAAACTGGCAAACATTTTTAAAAGAGATAATAGTAATCACGAGGGGCCAAACAGTCCCTTTCACATATGGTGAGGACTGTAAATTGGGATGACCTTTGGTCAGAAAAAAATTTACCAAAACTTGGAAGGTGTACGATGATTTTAACTAATGGCCAGAATAACCAGCATAATTTGTTTTCATGTGAGGGCATTGCCTAACTAGCCCATCTAAGGTGAACTGAATCCTGACTTGTTATTAGTGATTTGCATATTTTACAACTGTAAATTCAGATATTAGCTTGTAGAAAATTGGCAAGATGTTAATATTTTTGTCCAATAGAGATATAATTTCTGTCCTGCAGAGACAAAAATGATTTCTGCTCTGTAAAGATAGCACCAAAAGTTAGGGTTTATCACCCTGTAGGACATTTGTCAGATTTATATCTAATTTAGCAATAATTTATAATAATTTTAGTATTCTTTTTTCTAAGTATGTATGTATATATTATATATATGTATCTTATATAGTATATATACATAATATACATACTATATGTGTATATATCATATATACTATGGCATGTATATTTACATATATACATTATATATTCATATAGTATAGTTATATATAATACATGTACATCATATATGTATCTATAGATACATAAATATACATAGATATCTATACATATACATAGATATATGTACATATATATGTATATATGCTTATACATATTATATATATACATATATAAATGTACATAATATATGTGTACATATACATAGATATATAGAAAACCTAGACAATACCATTCAGGACATAGGCATAGGCAAGGACTTCATGACTAAAACACCAAAAGCAATGGCAATAAAAGCCAAAATAGACAAATGGGATCTAATGAAACTTAAAAGCTTCTGCATAGCAAAAGAAACTATCACTAGAGTGAACTGGCAACCAACAGAATGGGAAAAAATTTTTGCAATCTACCCGTCTGACCAAGGGCTAGTATCCATAACCTACGAAGAACTGAAACAAATTTACAAGAAACAAACAACCCCATCAAAAAGTGGGTCAAAAATATGAACAGACACTTTTCAGCAGAAGACATCTGTGCAGTCAACAAACATATGAAAAAAAACTCATCATCACTGGTCATTAGAGAAATGCAAATCAAAACTACATTGAGATACCATCTCATGCCAGTTAGAATAGCGATCAGTAAAAAATTGGGAGACAACAGATACTGGAGAAGATGTGGAGAAACAGGAACACTTTTACACTGTTGGTGGGAGTGTAGATTAGTTCAACCATTGTGGAAGGCAGTGTGGCAATTCCTCAAGGATCTGGAACTAGAAATACCATTGACCCAGCAATCTCATTACTGGGTATATACCCAAAGTATTATAAATCATTCTATTATAAAGCCACATGTATACGTGTGTTCATTGCAGCACTGTTTATAACAGCAAAGACTTGGAACCAACCCAAATGCCCATCAATGGTAGACTGGATAAAGAAAATGTGACACATAAACGCCTTGGAATACTATGCAGCCATAGAAAAGGATGAGTTCATGTTCTTTGCAGGGACATGGATGAAGCTGTAAACCATCATTCTCAGCAAACTAACACAAGATCAGAGAAGTAACTCCACATGTTCTCACTCATAAGTGGGTGTTGAACAATAAGAACACATGGACACACATGGGGGGAACATCACACACTGGGGCATGCTGTGGGGTAGGGGCTAGGGTAGGGATTACAGGGGGTGGGGGGATAGGGAGGGATAGCATTAGGAGAAATACCTAATGTAGGTGATGGGGGGATCAATGCAGAATGTCACCATGGCACGTGTATACCTATGTAACGAACCTGCAAGTTCTGCACATGTACCCCATAACATAAAGTATAATTTAAAAAAGAAAAATATGAATGGTAAGAAAGTGGTCAAAATGTTATATAAAAATATTATCTAAATATTAAGTAATATCTATGTAGGCCCAGATTCCAGTCAGGAAGACTTTCTCTGTCCTTTCTATTTCCTTACCTTGCAGGTTTTACATTTCTCTGACCTCATTTTCGCCAAAAAATAGTAGAAGGAAAAAGAAGAGAGGAAGGAAAACAAGACAAACCCCATGGCTAGACGTGTCTCAGGTAGAAAAAATTTAAATAGCAAAACAGGTGGCATTATGGATCCCTAGCAAAGTAGCCAGGATTGAGAATGCCAAGCATGGAGAAAGCAGTTCTGGATAAGGCGGGTCAGGCCTGGCCAACAAAACCTCCAGGCCGGGCTAGAACACATTCTTCTGGGCTCCTCAAGGTCGCTGGCTTCACCTGTTTTTGTCTGAGAAGAATACACAGCTCACACACAGGCACACTGGGGAACAATTCCCAGCAGCAACTGTTCCCAGCTAATTTCTTACACATAGGGATTTGCCTTGAAAGTTAAGACAGTGAACATGGAGGACAGCTCTGCCACTGGATGGGACAGGCCCTTTCTTAGCTACAAATTGTGGAAAGCAGAGACTATGCAGGAGCCCTAAGGTAGGGGAGGAGGCTGTATCTTGGACACGAGAGAGGTTTGGATGCTGCCCAGACCTGCTGCCTGTCAGTTGTGGTCTATGCTTATTTATGTTCCCTGGAAAACTGACAGAAAGCCGCCCCAGCACAAAAATACCAGCTTGTACAAGATTACCTGAAAGCTTGTGCATCCAAAGTGACCATTAGGGAAGGCACCTTTGGAAGTGGCCTGCATGCAGAAATGCACGCTGCAGCTTGCTGTTGGTGCGGTCAGGCTAACCAGTCTAGAAGGGAATGTTTTGTCCTGAGGCTGGAAATCCAGTTCCAGTCTACCATCTCCCCTCCTGTCCTTCCACCCTAGGTCCCTCCTACCCCAGGTTTCTATTATTCCCTCTAATAATAATATCTCTGGGCTGGGCGCGGTGGCTCACACCTGTAATGGCAGCACTTTGGGAGGCCGAGGCTATGGATCACAAGATCAGGAGAT